AGTTAAAATTTTAATAAAGAAATAGGTATTGCAGAATAGGAGTAGGGTGAGCTGCTGACGTCTGTTGTCCTTCTAGGACCAAGCAGGTGTGCTGATCGTTAAATTACTTGGATCAATGAAGCAGATAACACTTCGGGCCTGAACGAAAACATTCAACTTTGAAATAACAAAAAAGAAGTTGTTTATTTTCTACGTACCTACTGTTTATCAGGACTCAATAGAGAAGGGCCTAGCAACAACACGCTTAAGGCTACGAAAATGGATTCACTTAGAATAGGTAGATATTTACTGTGTAACGTAGGTACTTGGACACAGGTTTACAGGTGGAAGGCTGATCGGTAAGTAACCCTTGTTTGTCTTACACTTATAGTGTGACAGTGACAGAATTTATGTTAAACCAGATTAGTTTAAATACAATCTAGGAGTATCTAAGGCTGCTTACACTCACATCATTAAAATAGGCTTGTTCCAACCGCTGTCTTGTCCTGCTAGCTTTGCTGTATTCAGGGAGGCTCGACTGTCTTCTCACACGCATCCTTTGCTCACGGTCCATCGTCATGAGGTCAGATTTTTGAGATAACACTAAGTAGTGTAATCTATGGATTATATCCATTGTTATATTTTTATTTAAATTTAATGGAAGTTACGTTTCTTAAATTTATTCACGTCTGTTCAGGGTCAATTTTTGTCTAAAATGAGATATGGTTTAGTTACGAAGGTTTGTATCAAATAAACGATAATACTTGGTTGAGGAAATTTTCAGTATTAAGTAGGTATTTAAAAGTCAATAGTTACATAAAATTCTACGAAACCAAAAACTTATTTCAAAAGTTTTATACTTAAGTATTTGCCGATGGTTTATTGATATTTGAATGTATTTAAAACATGAGTTTATTACATTTAATAAAATTACTTAAAAAATCAAATATAATTTGCGAGATTGAGGTTGAAACATAAAAAAGTGAGTGAGTTATCGCGAGTGCGAGACGGCGCCCGCTAGTTAGGGCGGGCGCGGAGTGACTGTGGGCTGGGCGCCGGATGTAGCGTGGCGGCGATCCGACGTTACCGGGCAACCGTTTGCAAACAACACGCAATCTTAAGATGTCTACAGCTATAACTAGATGAAATAACGCCTAATAATGCTTTCATTTATGCAGAATATAAATGTAAGGCGACTGAAAACATGGCTTATTACCTACGTCTAAGTAATGTAGGTAGGTTGCATTTGTGAGATAGCAATATAGGAGATATACTTAGTTGGTTTTTATCTTGCTGAGACTTCAATGAAAATATATTATAGAAACAAACATAATAACAATTTCAATCCATACCTTTTTTTTATAAGGGGGGAAAATCGTCGAATGATTTCTCCCGCCTGGGTAGGCGATACTTACGTACTGACTAAAAATCCTACCCTTCGAGCCAGAGCCCGGCAACCCGTTAAGTCCTCCGCGGCTCCTACCCTAAGTTTGCAATTATAGTAAATATACCTAGTATATATATACTTAACCCATCTACCTATGTGCAATCCTACTATCTATTTATGTACTTAAGTTAACCCTAGCTAATTCGTGATCCATGGAATGGAATTACTTAACTCGTCGAGCACCGTCAATATAGACACAATTAAAGAACAATAGGTTGCGGTCAGTTTAAACTGTCAAACACCAAGCGGTCACCGGTGACCGCAACCTATTGTTCTATAATTGTCGCGGAGAACCTAACGGGTAACGGGTAGTAAGAGTCTGACACTCCCTCCCGCCTCACCACCACGGGAGCAGTAATTCGATGATTTTCCCCTCTTAAAAAAAAAAAAAATTGTTCTATAATTGTGTCTGTAATGACGGTACTCGACGAGTCAAGACGGGTCACTTGATTAGGAGGGTTCTGAGAGTAGGTAGGTACCTACTGATAGAAAATCAATAAAATTCGCAAAAATGTTGATGTCGAATATGGCGAATCAGGATGACGTTATAGATTTATAATTACCTATTTCAAAGTATTTTATAATAATCCCATGTAAATAAAACAATGGCCCCTCTATGGTTTTCTGTATTGTTGGTGCTTTTAAAAACTTACTAACAATAATGATAATTATGAATCTGTGAATCACAGAGAGTTTTTCCGTACTCGAATCGAACCCGCGACACATTGCACAGTAAGGATGATTGTCCAGTCACAGTAGGTATCAATCGTGCAGCTACTGCGCTAAATATCTCCGAGAAAAAGAAATCACGCTTTTGACTATCGGACTATCCGAAGGATAAGTAGGTATCTGCTGATATCTCTGTGGATTTTGTTACATATTTGTGGAACTTTTTTTTAAATACATTGCCCCACACTAGGATTTTCTCCTGTGTCGTGGCGTGGGCGCGTTTACAAACATACAATATATTACACACAACACCCAGACACAAAACAACAATTTGTAGATCATACAAAGAGTTGCACCGTCCGGGAATCGAACCCGCAACACGTTGCACGGCAGTCGGTTACCCAACCACCCCGCCAAGCGTGCAATCAAAACTGAACCGCATTGACAAATTGATTTACCATTGAAAAGTACCTATTATTTGTATGGAGCAACTTTTCATGGGATATGTGGCAAACGAGTACCTACACGGATCGAGGACAGGTGGTATCAAAATCTTAGAAAGTACATTATATATACATACTTACATAATAACTCGGAAAAGTTATATTGGTAGCAACTTGATAGGTTTTGAGCCCACAGTCCGGGTTGCCGGAGCTCCGGCTCAAAAATCAGTAGTAGGAACGTGGTGGTTTTTAGTCAGTAAGAGTCTGACACTCCCTAACGCCTAACCCAAGGCGGGAGAAGTCATAGGATGATTTTGTCCCATACCCTCATATTACATACGTGAGAAGGTGGCCTTAATTAAGGTGCTACCTACGTCAAGCTAAGTGATTTTTAGTTCAGTAATAGTTTAAAGGTGGTTGGTGAAAACGGCGATAAGGCTAAGGTAGTTAAATTATACTGAGATATAAAATAAATACCTAGGAAGTCGATCAACTCACTACCCAAGTACCCATTCGGTCCTTTTGGTCGATTAATCGGTGATCAGAAGTGACCGAACTAGTGTATTGCCTTGGACTAGCATTATGAAAATAAAAAACCATTAAACCCATCTAGACATAGGTAACTATCTAGTAACAGAACAAGCAGCTGTTAGGGCATGAGCTACTTATAAAAATATATAAGTTTAAATTTAGCCATCTAGCTAGACCTACACATTGCTTTTTTAGTGTGCCATTGAGCTATGAGGTCAATTAGAACCACTTATCACTTTTAAAAGTGAATGTGATGTACAAGCCTTCATTTAGTTTGTTGGTCCCCGAGTCTAACTACATTATCGTGTCTCCCCGCGAGGTTAATCTGTAAAGCATTAGCGTAGCGTTGTCTGAAGCCACACAATAATGACTAATTGTAAGCCAAATAATGCTAGACCAAAATTTGAAGTAATTAGTTGAGTAATCAACTGAAAACTAGAAACGTAAGCTTACTATACTAATTTTAAGGTTGATTTAGGTAAGTATTTTTTGTAGCGTAAGTAGGTAGGTAGATAAATAAATACTTTTCTTATACTTAGGTAAGTATTACTGGATTTTTAAAAAAACTCAGTAGTAGCAGAGTCTGGAAATGTGCCCGGTACATGGCAATAGGCTCACCCCCTATTACATAGGATTTATAACATAAATAGTGAAAAGTGGGTGTTACATTGTACAGTGGCATTAAGTGCCGAAATGTGCACCTCTGCCTACCCCTTTAGGGATAAAAGGCGTGATGTTATGTTTTCTTATAGGTAATTCAGAAGATTACTGTTGTCATAGTAAAATTTCTACTCTACAGCTTTAAAAATAAAATACTAAAAAGAAACCGACACTATCAATAAACCTTGGTGTACCTACATTTTTAAATACTGAATCTGATATTTTGAATTGTGTAAGATTCAAAGAAAGAAATAATACGATTGTGTTATAACTATGAATACTTTATTAGTAGTTTTAAGGCAGACAATTATTACACCTTGAAAGTCTTACAAATTGAGACAAACATTTTTAAAGTCAAAAAGATAATACATAACTCTTTTAGTTTACTTAAATATACAACAATTAATAAATACATGTGTAAATATTTAATCTGCCAAAATAAAACTAACAATTTGCCAAGACTCTATTAACGACTTTATGTACTAAAATAGTAAGTTGTGCAATACATATTCATTCGTTTATAGTCATCACAGACACAATTGGCATAGTGATATATATTTAACTAATAAAACATTTACTTATGAGGAAAAGTGTATAAACCTTAATCTTAATAAATTATGCTTAACATGATATTTTGTAAACCACCAGACATAGCCATTGAGTAAACAGTTCATTGGGAGTACCAGCTGTTGTTTATCTACATACCATTTCATTGTACAGTGCATAAAACTAGTTATGATACTACACAAAATTATTATGTTAGGTTATTACTTTAGGCATCATTATCTTTGAGGTAAATTTCAATAGTTAAGGTAATTAAGCTTTGGAATTGTAGAATAGAAGTTAAATGAAATAATTGAAATGAATATTTCATTTGGTGGTGGCTATATTCAATTAGTAATAGATGTATATTAGTAACAGTATACACACATAACAGTTTTTACAAAAATAGACATAATTATGGAGGGAAGTGGTTAACTAAGTGGTAACAAATAACATACATAGTTATGTATAGAAGCTAAATCAAAAGCAAATTCTATTTATCATTAGTTGGTACAAGATAAATTGTGCCACAATGAGTTAACATTAACAAGTTTATTAGTAAAATGGTAATTGATAGAATATGTTTGTAGAAATGTACATACAAATATTCAAACATTAAATCTGTATAAATGTTTTAGAACTTTTAACAATTTATATTGTACTTTAGAACAGAAATCTAAAAACTATTCTTTCATATACTCAATACATGGGGTGTCTATGCATTGTGCATAATTTAAAGCACCATAACTTAAATTGACTAATTTAATGTACTTATGCATGATTGATGTCTTTGAGAATATCCTGGTCCTTGATTTAAAGATATTTAGATAAATTATTATCAAACAATATTATGCTAATCTAATGCTATTAACTCCATTGAACTAATAAAGAAATGCTTCATATATTATGTTTCTGTTATCTTTGATTTACCATTCAGTTTGCCGAGCTGACCTAACATAAGGACAGTATTAATTAAATTTTCTGAGTAAATACGTTGATTTGTCTCCATCCTTCTCAGCTTCTGGACAACATATTTGGAGAAAAATTCCAGCTCATTTTCATTCCCTTGAATCCTTGGTTCATCCTCTAAACTCCTCTTACGTTTAGCCTCACGGGGGTTGGTGATATCATTCTTAGCTTTTCTTTTTGGGGATGGTTTTCCTTTGATATCACTACTTGCACTGTTAACAAAAGCCAGATTCAAGTCTTCAGCCAGATCATTAGCTTCTTCCTCATTCAACTGTATAGTTAGATCATCAGGCACTGTTACCATCGGCACATGGTTTTCAGAAAATATAGGGGATGGTAGGAATGATACTCGTTTTCGTACTTTTACTGCTGAATGTTTTGGTTTAGCAATGGATGTGTCCTCGGCAGTAGCTCCTACTGTATGTCTTCGGTTTGCCTTCTGCTTTGTTGATTCAGAATTGTGAAGACGGCTTACAGATTGTTTGTTGCTCCAAAAGTTCACCTTAATCTTTTGCTTGGGTTTAGGTTTCTGTTCAACAGGCTTTTGTTTATTTAACACAGGAGGGAATTTGTACCGAATATTATCATCCTCATCTTTAACTTTTTCATTTTTTTTCAGTTTCGGTGATTTAACAGAATTGTTAAAGAAGTTAGTGTTCAACTTGTACCTTACTGTCTCATCTTCTGATTCATAACCATTTTTCTTAGAAGAAGATTTATCAGCTGATGCGGATTTCATTGTTTTGGTGATATGATTAGCTTTTCAGTATCAGTACAAGATTAAGTCTTTTACAGCACCTGAAATGAGACAAACATAAAATTAATGAATAAAGTAATATCACGTTTCAATGTAAAACATAACGTAGTGCACGACTACATACTTCATTTCAACTGTAGACCAATTAAAGAAATTGTTCATTTCGCGTAGGTTTCGGCAGTGTTTCCCGCCCAAACATTTGTCAACAACATCATGTAAATAAAACTGTTATCATAACACAAAAGTCAATAACCTTGAGCATTTAGAAAAAATAAAAACGTGTTAATTTAAATTGTAATGATTTATATCCCATACCGTTTCTATTATTGGCAAGGAAATAGAAGATAATAATATTTTGAGGTTATGCGACGTTTGCACTAAGTTATTGTTGAAAATAAAGGGAAATTGTTACCAAAAACTAGGAAGAGTAAGGTAAAATTATAAACTATGATTGTTATAGTATCACTAATGGTAGTTAAAGTCCATTTTTCACACAATTTTGTCTCGTCATCATTATCATTTGATAGGCAATTACTATTACATAATCATAATATTTTATAGAATAAATCTTACCTTTATTAACTTTCATAATTATTCACCACAAATTCACTCACTGTGTTGGTCACAAAACTCGAAAATAAATAAATATTATCCACGAATACAAACACGACACGCACGATTTGGAGTGTTCATGACGCAGAGTAGTTCCAAAATTATCCGCTAGAGGCATAGCATCAGCGCGCGGGAAAACTGCGGGCGCGTTCGGAAACACAAAATTCTATTTAGAACAGATAAGTAGAATAATCTTGGATGTTGGAATGGAAAATGATGGTTAAATCTTAATTTTAATAACCAATTCAATTAATATATATTCCACTTTCTTAAAAAAAAAATAAGATTAACCGATTTTTGATACCTATGTACATACCTATTATTAATTAACGTCTGTCGGAGTCGGGACTGGGACTGCTGCATTATAGTGCTAATTCGTACCTATTTATTATTTAACTAAAACATAAGTTTATTGCAATTGAATTAATGTGATAAAAATGTTTGAAATTAAGAAGTATTTAATAAACCTGTATTTTGAACTTTTTCTAGTGTCGTGGATAATTATTAAAACCTTAATAAAATAACACTTTGTGAAACACACAAAGATTAATTCTGTGCGGGAACCGAACCCCTGATACGTTGCGGTACAGCCCGTTGTTTTGTTTCTGCGCTAAACGTATAGTTTTGTATTTTTATGAATTTAAATTTATTTAAAGCTAGGATGTGTAGTGTTAGTTAATTAAGTAGGTATATAGATACCTCATACCATAGTAGGTATAGACCTACTTAGTTAAAATTAATAAAGTAATTAAAATCGAATTACGTAGGTGCTACAATAGTTCCGCATCCCTATGTCGAAAGTTTACTATATTTTTAGAGTTTTAAGGTTTTAGCCTACCTATTTAATTTACTAACAGACAGATAGATTATTACTTTACATTTCAATGAAATATTACCTGCCTTTATCAGTTATATTATAAAGATTTTTACTCCGTTTACAGCATTTTTCATTAACATGGCTAAACGTTTTCTTTCACAGTATGCATACCTAAACAAAACATCTTAGAACGGGGGTACGTAATGTCAATAGTGTTCAAAAGCTGAGCGAAGCACGAGACATCTTTTCAAAAGACATGAATGTAACACACTATTTTAAAATATGACCTAAATAAAATTTTAGGGAATCTAGAAATCTCATTAAGAGCCCTAGAATTATAATTCATCACTTGTAACATTAAGTAATAGCGCACTTAATTACTTACCATATGATTTTTCATGGAAATCCACCCCATCTTAGCACGGAACTTCAGTTTACGTTTCGGATTATCCGTGATTAACGATTTATAATACAACACAGTCACAATAAATGTCTATTTTAACGATTTTCACGCTATTTTGTTTAAAAGCTTAAGCTTTGTGTGCCGCGAATTGAGAGGTTATGACAGTCTGCGAGATCTGCTCTCGGACTGAGTGGGAGGCTGTGCGCAATGCGGCAACGCGGCTGTCTACAAAACATTAAGCTGTAACAAAGTGCTCATGTATGCAGACAAAACAAACAGAAAAAAATATCTGTCATTTTCAAAATCAAAGCAATGAGTTTCTAATTACAAAATGCCTAAATTCCAAAAAAAACCTAAAATTGCAAATGCTTTTAGGTTTTATAAAAAATGCATTTTTGAAAATTAGTACTATTAAATTTTAACAGTATTAATAATTTAATATTTAAATAGCTACCTACTGTGTGTTATTTTTTTATATCCGCGGGAAAACTTTGAAACTATTGATTTCGAATTGCGAACGTCTTTTCGCATGTGCCTAGAGCTAGGCGTGCGCACTAGAAACTAGAGTTTATGAATGGATCAAGTTCTCTAAGGGTTGTCCTAGAAAAGTAAAATGTTGTCTATTAACTTTAACGTCAACGCTTTGTCTTCTTTCTTTCATTTTGTCGAGGAATGGTATGGCTTACTATTTTATATGGCAAAGTGAATAGGAAATTGACTCGTTCAATCAAAATGTTAACTTGTGAAAAACAAATATCTATACAACGTTAGTTAGTACTTCTTAAGTACCTACTTTAATTACTACTTAGAACTAGATATTGGATGACAAGGATGGCTTTAGGTAGTAGGTACCTAAGTACCTAAGAAGATATCTCCTTAAATCAATTATATGCTCATAGGTGTCTTATAAAATGAAAATGTAAATAGTTTGATTTACTTAGGTAACTTATCGACAAAAGGATGTTTTTCAAGAGAACTGAAATTAACTTTATAGGAAAAGTAAAGATTCGTTTGCGCTTATTTGCGGAGATGTGTTTTGGTACCACCCTGTGAAGTTCCTTACAATTTTGAAACACATTTCGTATTTATGCATAGGTACCTAGGTGGAATGGTTAAACTTAGATTTAACTTAATTATGTACTTAGATAAAATGTCACTTACCTGAGCTCTAACTGCGGCTAGATGTAGTTGCGTTGCTCTGTAGTCGTATTTCTTTACAGATATATCTTCCTGTTGTGATAAACAAATACATTTTAGACCATGATAAAAATATCCCTAAACGAAAACAAAATAAAGTCGACATTTATTATTGAATAAAAAATAAATAAAATGAAAAACAAAATAATACAGCACTCAGCGTAAAAAGTTTACAAAACAAAAGACAATCACATTTCGAAGATTCGTTTTTCTTCTTTTTTTCTATAGGTATACTATAGGTACTTGTATCCAGCCTGATATGCCGCGATTTATTTACAACCTCTTTACACTAGCGTCGTTGCTAGACTGAATAAAAACGGCATCTACCGATGTCGCATTCAAGTCTGTAGGCACCTTGTAACTTTTACATCGTTTGCGGTTGGGTGTCGTCAGACCTCTGTTTAGTTCACGTGATGCGCCAAAGATGGCTCTAGTAAGGCTATTACTACTTCTACAACGACTAGAAAAAGATGGATCCACTAGTGCTAGTATTAAGTTTATAAACTAAGTACATACATATTTTAATAACAAAACGAATAACGTTTTCCTATCTTTCCCAATATTCTGAATTTCATTGATAAAATACCTAAGCTAAGCTGTCACAGGTAGCCTAATTAAGTTTAACTGCAGTAAAATATTAAATCGGTAGGTTTAATTGCCCACATTTTACCTGTTAATTAACTGGGCATGTAAGTGTAAGCAACAACAGGCAAAGTATTGCCACTTGTATATCCATTGTGCTTTATCCTTCAATACCAAGCTAAGCGGAAAATTTTAATGATGTTGAAGGCCGATTTTGTTTTCGCTCCAAAAATGTTTTCGATTTAGCTTTATGGACGAATTCATATTTACAAGTTTCCTTTACATTTATTTGCAAGCTTGATACAATTGCTTTCTAAAAAAAATTTAGATAAATATATAGGTACATAATTATAGTGTCTTTTACGTGGTGTTTGCTGTTTGTAAAAATACGGTTCTATTAGGTACTTACATGCATCAAAGCCAATTTGTTTTAATTATGGCAATGGGTTAGTATTTTTTCAATGGCATGTTATACTGCATAATATTAAAAAGATATACACTAACCTGTATTTCATTTACTTTGTTGTAAAGATTACTCTCGATACCTCTGGTTTGATGTCGACCTAGCTGATCAAGACTTTCCTGTGAAAAAAAGTTTACGAATTAATTTATGGCAGTGTATTCTACAATTAAAACTGCAATTAACTTTAGACACCCATAAAGCCTTGTTCGCACGTGCTAGTATTTTAGTCGAGCAGCGAGTGTTTAGTATATCCCTCTCGCTTCTGTCTACTTAACTAAAATACTAGTATATTGCGAACAAGGCATAGCGAGTAGTAGGACTATATTTGCAAGTCATCTTTTATAGGTACTTGGTTGGTTTTGGAAACCACTGTTGGTAACTTCTTAGCTAGATTAAAAAAAATATATGTATATATTTTAAAATACAATGAAATAATATTTTCTAGTATTTAATACTTATTTACTTGTAGCTGTTTAATTTGCATTTCTAAGTCCATTGCGTCTTTTTTCAGCTGTTCGTAGTTTACGCGCGCTTGTGCGCCCATCCGGTCCAGAAGTATTTCTCCGCGTAGAATAGGAGGCATGCTTTCCTGTTCAAATAAGAAAAATAATATTAAAAATTATTTTAGAACTATTAGAATATAGTTTCTGGTCAAATCTACCGACACTATATCCCTAACCACGTTTTGCCCCAAATGTGGAATTCCATTGAATTCCTAGGTAATTAATTGTGTCATTTTAGACATATGCTTACAAAATAAACGAATCTCTGTGTATCATAACTTGTCTAATACCTAATTACGATGGTAAACTTTGTAACACAGCTACATAGCTGCAAGTAAGTACCTAATTCCAAGGTAGGTTAGGTAGTACGTAAGTACCTAAATTACGTTACATTAGGTAAACTACAGTAAGACAGTAACCGAGTGGAGCATAATACAGTAAGAGTATTCTAGATTTTAGATGGACATTCTTCTTTTACAACCTTGTACCGAACAGCTCTTGGGAGTGAGTAAACCTTACTAGCTTGCTAGTAGTGGTATTGTAAACTGTCATATAGGGTTATATCACAACCCAGTAATACAAAAGCAATCTCTTACACAAATTCCTTATGCGTGGTTCTAATAAATCATATAACAAAATGACGTTAATATCTTATAAATAGGCAGGTACATAATATTATTATTGTAGTCCTTCGATCTTGTTAATTATTTACTTATCATTATCAATCAATATCATCATCAACAGCCAATCAGTGTCAACTGCTGGGCAAAGGTCTCTCCCCACACAGAGACGGTTTGAGCATTAATCAAAATACTTGCTCAATGCTTGTTTACTTGTAATCTTGTGAAAAAAAAGGTTGCCCCTTTTCCAACACTTTCATTTTTCTTTCGATTGAGTAGGTACACTGAATTATATCAAAATGTAAGTAGCAATCAATTATGCCAACAGCCTGATAAAATGAATCAAGTTAACGTAACAAGGGACTACTGAACACTGCGGTTGTTTATAACTATTGTTAAATACTTTATTTAAATAAATTAGGTACCTGTACCTATTTATATTTAACAAAGAAAATTGTGGTATTTTGATGTAGATTACAGGGTTTAAGGATAAACAGTAATGTGAGTGTAAAATGTAATTTTATTCTAACATAACGTAGAAAAGTTTTTATATGGATTTGACTTTTATTGTGTTTGAGTCAATATTTTAACTGTGCAATTATGATATTAATTTGAGCATTTCTTCCACCTTTGTAAAGATAAAGAGTTACATACCTATACCTGTTAGGTTCTGGCAGGTTTACTACATAACTCTGTTCCCTCTCTATCAAAATGTGTGAGTCTTTTACTGCCGTACTCACTCGTTTAATAGTTACTTAAGTTAGTCCTACGCTGGTTCTCGGAACAAAATCATTACTAAGGAATAGTGTTCGCTTTTGTCTCTCTTAGAACAATCACAGGAACTTAACTAAAAATCGCGGGTTACTCATGTGAATATACTGAGAAAAACTCTAGTAGTTTTGAGCCATAGAGGGGCTCTTCCTCATGAGCACTGTGGGCGGTCGCGCAGCTTTTCTCAGTATTATTCACGTGAATAACCCGCGATTTTTAGTCAATATAGTAGGTATGTCTCACGTCTCACGACAATTATTATAAAAACCACAGGAAGAGTTAGAATGACGAAAAATTTATTTTACTTTGCCTTCACCTCAAATATTAATACCTTTATTTATTTATGCCTATCTTAAAGTTAGGATGACTGAAAGCCTAAGTTTTTGTGTTCAAATTCTCGTGCAACAACTTTGGAAGCCTGCCTATTCCGTGCTAATGAGTTTAGCACACGCACTTATTTCGGAGTAATTGAAGATAGATTTATCAATCAGAGACTGTTTTCCACTACCAAACTAGTACGTAGGTGTGTATGTTCTAGAAAGACGTTGTTATTGTGGTGAACCACAACCAATAAGGCAATATTAAGTGTGGGAGGGCCATGCTTCGGCACAACGGCACGCCGCAGACAGCCATGTGAAACAACGCTTGCGTTGTGTTCCGTCCTGTAAGTGAGGTTACCTGATCCCCAATTACGCCCCCCCCCCACTTCCCCAATCTTCCGAATCCCAGAATCCAAAGAATCCCCAAAAGGCCAGTAATGCACTTCTAATGCCTCTGGTATTCCAGGTGTCTATGGGCGACGCCGATGGCTTACCATCAGGTGATCCGTCTGCTCGTTTACGGGCTTATCCCGTAAAAATGGCTAATGTTTTTGATTTCTTCAAACATCGTTTGATGGACATTTCAATCAAGAAACAATTAAATATCTGTGTAATGTATTGTGTGAACGGTGACAAAATTTGCAATTCAATATAGTCTCAAGTGCGTGAAGTTACTTAAAATCTGTGTTCAAAAGTATTGTAGAAGAGCTGAGAAAGGTGTACAAGTTGTTACATACTTACAGGTGAAAGTTTACGACAACGAATGTACTTACTTATATGAAAATTACTTGGTAAGTTTGTCAAGTACAGGTAGCAATAGAATTTTAATACCTATGCAATCTGCATATAACTGACTGACTCGGTATAAAGATAACAGTGGTTATGGGTAGTAAACGGTTACTGTCTCTGTACTAAATCAATTTTTATTGTATTATTTGCATACGAAATTCTTGTACCTACTGCCACCGGCAGCTATATTCTAAGTATTTCTAAGCCACGTTTAGCTTCTAATTTAGACAAAACCGTAGATGGACGCTAGATTACCTCTATACAGTAATAAAATAAAACTATTTCAGCAATTGTATTTTAAGCTTTTCAAAGATTATCCCTTTCATAAACAGAGTGGAACAAACAATCGTTTTAATGGAACCTACAGATTTTATTACGAATTCTGCTATAAAAGGTACTGCAATAAAACAAGTGAAGTTAACGTCTAGTTATAAAATGATAACATTGTATTTTACTAAACTGTTTAAGAACACTAAGTACTATTTAGTGTGTAGTACCTAATAAACCTACTTGGTATTTATCAGTACATAGTGAGATAATGTCATAAATGTACCTATGATAATAGATAATAATGATAATAGATAATAGATAAACTGATGATGTACAGACTCAGAGTTTATCAGTTTTATCTTTGGATAATCTGTATCTAACGTCCTATTTACTGTCGGTTTTTGAATAATATATTAATGTTAACTTTTGTATTTCTAAATTCACATTACCAACCGTTACATTTGATCAAATCACTTAAATGAGACCGTCAACGACCGTAGCTATTGTAGTTTAAAATTGTATTTTGTAACCATTATACCATAGCCAATCTATGGCTAATCATTGGTTACTGTCTCTGTACTGAGGCAATCTTTATTTCATTAGATGCATACCAAATAAATTGGCTGACTTTACTGGCATAACCAAGGCTTGATATTTACAAGCTCCATAAACCTTTACATTTACATTTTCCCATGGATTAAAGTAGGACATAGGATACATTAAACAGAAATGTTACTACTAACATAGATTAAGTCTACTAACATAGTTTACTAACATAATGTGAGTCTTGGTTACTTTAAATAAATGATAACATAAGATCACGTCTTTTTATCCACGATAGAGTAGGTAGAGGTGCACATTACGGTACTTAATGCCAATGTACAATGTAACACCCACTTTTTACTATTTATGTTATGAGTCCCATGTAATAGGGGCCTATTGCTAATTTGCCATATACCGGGCACAGTTCCAGACTCCGTGCTACCACTGAGATAAACCCAGTTATACTTTGCCCAACTCGGGAATCGAACCCGAGAACCCTTGCCCGGCAGTCGCACTTGCGAAAACTAGGCCATCGAGCCAGTTAAATAAATGATTTTATTATTATTTATTATTTACAAACAAATCTACTAAAATGTCACCAATCAATTTCACATTTCCACTACAACAGAACACAATACATAACAGCATATCCGCATCTATTCACAATAAGCTCTCTGATGTGAGTAGGTACCTATTGTCTCCGGTAATCTGTCTTAATTACCTGCAAACTATAGTCTGTAGGCTTCCTTTTAATTAACTATGGATAGCTACATGCATGTCAGTGTCTTGTCATTAGGATCGGAAGCTTATCCAGATTAGTACAGGACGAACTAAGGTGTATTTAGTTGATGTCTGTAGTGTATTCTTATAGTAAGTGATTGCAGATACTATTTTCTTGATAGGGCTTTTATGAAGAAGTTTCACGTGTGGTACCCGTAATCACTTTTCGCTACTTGTCTTACTTGATCAAGTCTTGTAGTAGAGGCTAATCTGCTGTTATGTATTGGAGACAGTTCTGTGTTGTCACTAAATCTATCAATATTACTCGAATCGAAAATGAAATCTGATAAAATCTTATGATCACTTGAATAACGAAGCAATATCATCAGTAACAGTATTAATCAACGTTACAATTAGAGAAATTCCGATCGTCTTCAAAGGAAGCATCAAATAACAATTAATTTGTTCCCTGTTTCCCCAATTTCGAAAACATACAACCAACAATATGAACGTATTTTTAGTATAGTTAGACAGACCTTAGGGATGGTCGGGAAAGTTCTTAATAAGGAAATGACCTCATTAATCTACACACGTCGCCTTCCAAACAAGATTGAACAGTAGCTAATATATGTACAGGTATACGAGCTATACAGGTATCAACTCAACCAGCTAGATAGATAATACAATGTCAAGAACTTTGTTCAGTATTTAATCCCTGGGACGTAGAAATGTGTTCTTAGTTGCAAGGTCGAAATAGTTGGCGTGGTATTTTGTCTGGTATATGGTTATAGGATCGTTCGTTCCCTTTACTCATTGCAAGTGGAAATGGATGAGAAAACTAGCGTAAAAGCAGGTGCATTAGCAGTGCATCAGTGGTCACCAAACTCTGTAGAGAAGAGCATAATTTGAAATGTCTTTTTTATTTGATTAGGAAAATTGACTTTGAAAGAAAGAAAGAAAACAATCTACACACATACCATGTTCAAAAATACTTGTTTGATTGTGTCTATGTCCTGTTCCAATAAGTTTATTAAAATCACGAGTAACACCAAAATCTTCGCTTCAATATCAATTTCTGCTTTCAAAATAAAGATGGGACAATAATTTAATCGCGTCCGTTTCGAAGTTGTACGGTTAATCCCCTAAGCAATTTGAAGTAATCCCTCTCCATGGCGGCTTTGGGTTAGTCGAAACGATAAATAAATAATGGAACTTGTTATTGCGAGTTCTGGGCTTTATAGGCTAGGGAAACTATTTCAGTCATGGAAATTTATATTGTCGTCACTGTACGCCGCGGTGCATAATTGCATAATTCCTAGTTAGTGTTCTTATTTACCTGATTGCTCTACGCGAGTTGGGTGCCAATAATGCCGATTTCTAGTTAATAAAACCTCAATCGAAGTATATTTCCGTATATGGAAAATAAAATAGTATCTTTCATACTTGTATTTACTGGAATGCTCCTACTCTGCCCCTAGTTAGGAACAATAAAGTAGGCACGTTATAGAGGTAGTATCTAATTCCGTTCAAAATATAATGCCAATATTCATTAATGTAATAAAACAAAAGATTAAATTACATTATACCTACGTCCAAATTGGGGCAAGCAGTAAATTATGACTCCTACAACGAAATAATTTGCTGAACTGCGTGATCTATTTCATTTTTGACAGGAACCTCAACCCTCGTCATTTCCCTTCTTTATTTATTCAAATATTACCGCGGGAACATCCAGGGGTGGGTCGTCAGCGTCTGGTGGGTATGGTGGTAGGAATGCCCTCTTCGGTGGTCGCATGGGGGGCGTGGCAGTGAGCAGGGTTCTCGCCAAGTGTGCTAAGTCGGCCGTGCTGGACACTGCGCGAGCTTGAGCGCACAGAGACTCGTAGCGGCGAAGCTGGTTGTTGCTCTGTTGGAAATAAAATTATCTTACAGTAATGATGTAGGTACCGCAAAATGAATATATAAAATTCATAGTCATTTATAACAAGTAAAATCAGAAATTAGGTGTCAAAACATATTTATGGTAACAGATCTATTAGGTATTCAATTCTGTATCTTCTTCGAACTTCGAATTTTTTTCTATACAAACGTATAGAAAAAGTGAAGGCAATGAGGAAATAAATAAGATACCCTACGAGCACTTACATAAAAAGTGTTTATGTAAGTGGCCTTTAGGGACACATTTATTTGGTGAAAAAAGTCTTTTTGGGTTTGGGTAGCGTGTATGTTGTGCCTAAATGACACAAACAGACCTAACACAACATTTACTGATCCGTGCTTGGTGATACGACTTCTGGCTAGTGACTGTACTTTGGTTTAATTGAGAACGTGATGTTTTTCTACCCTTTAAGCAAAATCATAGAGAAAAAAATAACAATAAAAGTTATTTCGTGCTACTTAGTTTCTACGTTACAAGATCATAAACTAAGTACAACAGTACACGCCGAACTACAAACCTCTTTTTTGTTGGTTAAAATTGTTTTATGTATCAAAGTGCGACCGATATCAACCACTTTAGTTTCTGGGTCGTTTGGTCGTCGAAAACATTGTGTTCATGTAAAAGCTTTAATGGAACGCATTGCAGTTACAGTGCCGTATCCATTTTATAGTTCCACTCAAAGGTTACGTACCTAAGAACAACTGTCGGTACGTATTCAGAAATTATTTTGGTCATAAAGAGACTAGCTTCTGCTCGCGGCTTCGCCCGCATTACCGTGTGATAAAAAGTAGCCTATGTGTTTATTTTCTTTTTGTTTAAAAACGTTGCCCCACATTACATTGAGTATACATACACATAAACACAAATTGACAAACTTTTGCATTTATAATATTAGTAAGATTGGTAATGACAAGAATGGATTATACTAATTACCTCTATTGATGAAGTCAGCGTTATGTTCCTATTACTTAATTTTCCACGTGCCAATTTTTGCTAATTATTATCCGGACAAATTCTTCTTTACGAAAATTCTAAATTTCACGAATTGTTAATTTTCCGAATGCCTCATTTTCTTAGTTGTTAATAGTACGAATTGATTAATTTTAGTAAGAATTTTCATAAAGCAGAATTCCGGATAATAATTAGCAAAAATTGGCACGTGGAAAATTAAGAAATAGGAACTTATCGCTCACTTCATCAATAGAGGTAATTAGTAAAATCCATTCTTGTCATCACCAATCTTACTAATAATTATTGTAAATAGGAACTTATTGCTGACTTCCTATTGATTACTTCAGGACAGTAAACGTAGTTATTGATCTTTTACATTCTAAGTTGGTTATTATTAACGAAGATAAAAGACTCAAGCCTTTTGCCTTCAAAAGAATAAATAAATACCAAATATCTTTAAGTAATTTACAAGTTGGGAACAACCGCTGTGCAAATCCTGATATAATATCAGTCCCGTTGTGTAAAACGGATATTTTAATTGCCTTATTTGAATGAAAAGTGCCTGTTAGGACTACAGCGGTTCGATGTAACAGACCTTTATGAGAATACCCTTTAATATTGGCTGTAATGTTTTTTAAATTGTTATTATATTCTTTCAAAGTGTGTTACCTATATTATAATTCTGTAACAACCTATTTGTAAACACCTTCATTTTATGCAAATAAATGATGTGATTTGATATAACAGTGAGCCATGCTTTGTTATTCTATTGAAAGTTTTTTGCAAAATAAATCTAAGATTTCGATTAATTACTTAATATAACATGTTTTCAACATTGTAGGTATAGGTACTCTACCCAAATAATGGGTTCATTTTTGTTTTGAAACCAGCCCAATTAGGTTGACGTCCACTAAAAACAATTTTACCTTCCTTTTTTTGAAAATTGAAAGCATGATGTTTGCAACGACATTATGCTTAAACTCACAAAACAATTACCCTTCGTGGGCCATTCAGTCTGGTAAAAATAAATCTCTTTGAGTAGATAATATAAGAAATTAAAGTAAAAAACACGAAAATTCAATCCGAATAGCATCATCAACGTGATTGGAAAAACCATTACTGCTTTATTCGCTTTAGTAAGTAACCTTTAATCTCTTAAATCTGTAGAGTTTGCTTACAATCGCTATCCTCTCGAGATATAAAAGATACAGGCCAATCCACTTTATCTTCGGAAGTTATCTAATGGTTCTATGTAATAACTGTCTAACTTCATCAGCTCAGGCAACTTGTAACGGGCAACTAATGCGGACACAAGATGGATGACTCCCAACTGTCATTTTGACATGACATTGCATTTATTAAGTTCCTGAATATTTTGTGAATTTTGGCGTATGAAGTATCCTTAATCAAAAGGCTTAGGGAAACTATTTGAGCCGGGGCTAGTTCAATATTATTACCGTACGCTTTGTCCTTTAGATAGGCACCTCCGATGATGTTCTTGGAAGTCCTTAACTTAGTTTTAGATGTCGACTCTAGAATTTTTTGTGAGGACAAGAATGCTTTGTCGTTAAGGAATAAAAAAGTAGGTGGCGATGAATAACTTCGTGATTCGTTTCTAAGGGTTGTATAGTCTGTGATATGAGTATAAAGGAATTTTACTTATTTTTAACTGACTTCCCAAAAAGGAGGTTTTCAATTCGTCTGTATGTTTTTCTTTGTGTGTATTCTCAAAAATGTTTAAATAACAATTGTGGATCGTTTGAAAGTTTTGTTTAGATGATAGCGATTTTCAATTTATATTTATAATTCAGTGCCTGTTCAATACCATCATAATGAATTTAATATGCTAGATTTTAATTTGGAAGTCCAACAGAAAAGTGTTTTCTTAATTTTGTTTTAATTTCGTAAGTAGTTTAACTAATGAAAGAGAATATATTAATAACATTGTTTACAACGTGGTTGCAAATTGAACCATTAAATTACTACAATGCCAAATAATATTATTAAAATAGCTATTTACAGTGCTCATTAAACGTATCAGTTCCTCTCTTCATTAAATTCACATTTCCACGTTATGTCAATATTAATTTTCCAACAGATATTTTAACCGATTTCGTATAATTGGTTGTTAAATGGACTGGCGAATTTATACATAATAAGATATAATTTCCTTTTGCGAAACACGAAAACAGTATTTTTATAAATAGGTACATATGTACCTACATACTTTATAGGCTTCACTTTGTAACTCGTTTACCGTCGACCATTTGTAATAAGGCTTTCATTTCGTAATTACGTAAAAGTTTTTTAACCGGAAAATTCCGATACACTCTATTTTCAATAGTAAACTTAAGAGTCGCTCTTAAAATTTTTACGTTTTCTCTATGGACCAATCGATCTACAAAAAAACAGTATTTATTTACCTTATCCGTAATAATTTCTCCTTCTTGACAGATCGCTTCGCTCACCGCCGAAGTAACGTCGGTCAGTATTTCTTCCAATTCCTGAAATAAAAATGGGAACGACAGATAAATAACAACGTTAATCTATTTTCAAAGAAAATCATTTTAGCTCTTGTATGTACGATCTTAAGTAAAAATCTAAAACTCATTTTATGCTAGCTTAAACATTCATATCTCAACAAACTACTACAGAGAAATGATTTAATTTATTCAACAATAAAATCGGCTTCTGACATCTGAAGCTACGTGAGTGATCCTCAGTTTAATTAAAGCTGGAGTTAGTTGGAGCCTCTGTTCGGAGCTTGAAGCTCCTTCAACTGCGGCGCCGTGAGGGCTGTCAAACATCACGAATTCGATCTACGAACGAACAACGACCCGTTCGATGTCACATGTCAATACCAATTGTCTTGGGAACTTGGGATCCGACCTAGTTCTTTTTTGTCGATTTTATAAGCCAATTTCGTGGTGCATAGATTTCCGTATTTCAATCAGGATTCAAGATACAATTCCGTCAAACTTCAGCCCTAGTTCGAGTATGTAGTTATGTTTCGTTTCCTCTTGAAGATAGATTCCCACAAGGTAAAGTTGGATGAGGATGGCACTTACATTATAATACGACTATAATATTCAGTTCTGAAACTTGTAGAAGACATCGTATCATCGAGCGATGTGATAGTCGTTACCAATTAATAAAGTTTAAACGTTTCTGAGAACTTAATATGTATGCTTAGCATAAACAAAACTAGTCCCAACTAAGTAATAAAATTACACTCGATTTCTGAGATTATTAACAGTAAACTTTTTGAAGAACTTATTGAAAGTCTGGGGAGCGGGCCCTTAGGGATATACCTGTGGTTAATTTAATAATCGAAGTGGTAACCCTAATTCCTAAAAGTAAACATTGACTAACTATATGTCTACGTAAACATGTGAAATTCGAAGTTTTGTTCTTATAACCTTTTGTAATCCATTAAGGCAGTTGAATACACTTTATAGACCTAATAAGTTTTCTTAATAAGTATTTATTGGCTCTAGAATATCCAAATGGCCCTAAGATTTCGGACAAAGCACCAATTATTAGCTTCTGTAATTTTCTAAAGTACTTAGCTCAATTCATAGCTAAATACAGATACAATTAGGGTATAAAATTGTGTTCAATTATTTCATTGTTACCTGTAGTATCGTCGGAAGAGTATGTTTATGGTACTGGTCCAACATGGCATTAGTGGCTGTCAGTTGTTGCACGTACGTGTTGTGGGAATCATAGTACGTGGCTAATGTCGCTGGTGTCGGGTTGTTGCAGTAATTCAAGAAAGCCCCTCTGTAGTCTTGACGACTCTGGAAATGGTAAAAAAAAATTAAAGTTTTATTAAATAACATAATTCATTAAATAACATTTAAGAAAACAACGATTCCTGAGTCGGGCAAAATAAGTTTGGGTTTTTTAAAAATCTCAGTAGTAGCACGGAGTCTGGAAATGTGCCCGGTATATATTAATAAGCTCACCCCCTATTACATGGAACTCGTAACATAAATAGTCAAAAGTGGGTGTTATATTGTACATTAAGTGCCGTAATATGCGCTTCTGCCGACCCCGTCGGGGTATGTTATGTTATGTAATATTGATTATCATCATTGGTAATCAATCAAAATTTGTCTTAATTTACTGCTTCTTAACTCGTCGAGTACCGTCATTATAGACACAATTATAGAACAATAATTGTTGGTGTTTGACAGTTTAATCTATCAATAATATTATTGAAAAACCGAATGAATAAACGTCGCTATATAAAACTCTTTAGGGACAGGAATAATGAACACGAATTCGAACGCAATCCAAAATCACGCTTATACGTTGAAACATCATGCTAGCAATCCCACAACAACGGTTACGGAAAACATAATTTCCAGATCGAGATATTTACCTTTGCCACGGTAAACGTACATGCATCCGAATGCATGCGGGGACGACGACAATAGCAATCTGTACTTTCCAATATTGTCTGTTTCAATACTATCCTTCCATTTTCTTATATCTACAATACAATTTTTCTTTTTCAAATGTTAAAAGGTAAGATTTATATCTTTCTAAGGTGGTTATTTCATTGTCAACTCGTGCAGTGTGTCTAAGTTAAGCTGCTTATTCTATTGTCACGTTAAATGGTTCACAAACTTCGCACAGTCGAACCACCAACGTTTGCAGTACTTAAATACTGTTATTAAAATGTATTCCGTTATTTGCCTCCCCGACATTCTCACCCGGGAATTACCATCGCTTCTCTTGTTTTATAAAATGGTAACACAATAATACTGATACGTATCTAGTATTTGTCTAGGACACTTAAATTTAGTTTTGCAGCGTGACATTGTGTCGCGTACGTGTGAGCTATTTATTGCCTTATTAATCCCTCAGTGCGTTAGTTATTGCATTTTGCGATGGAAAATGAGTCATGATACGTAGGTATATTGCGTTGGTATCCTGGTTTTAGTGCTGCGATCAATTTTATAGATACTCGCACAGGTCGTTCGACCGCACGGCTGATTGCTCTCCAATATGCTTCCGGCGAAGCGAATAAAGATCACACGTGATCTCAATTAATTTCTCGCTGGAGATTTTTATTGAGCTCTACCCGAATGCACTCACTGTGCAATTAACAATCACAGACTTTTACCGCACAATATTCTAAAGGGGTATAGTAAAAGCAAATAGCAAATTGTTAAGCAAATAGATACTACAGAATAGAAGCGGAATAAAAATAAGATGTTGATAAACATAAATAATATTTAGCACTTAATGCGAGGAATAAAACTCCGTGAGCTGTTAAAAGAAAAACGTAGAGTTCAGTATTTATTTGTAGGCACTTATCGAAATGGAAAATAAAATACGAAACGACGAAGCTCGGTGTACCGTACGGAAGATTATATGAAGAATCCAGCTTTGATTTTATGTCCCATTACTTGTATGATTGTCGTTAAAACAACGTTGATGTGTTTAGTCGATTTGCTAAAAAAATATACCATGATAAAGTATATAGTTTACTTTAAAACGAATTTGAAAATACTATACAGTACGTATATTTCACGGAATCTCGTCACCAACATTTATAGACAAGTTATAAAAGATTAATAGTGCCTTGCCTCTATCTCAAAGATATTCAAATGCATTATTTAGAGGTTAGAGTTGCACGGGATATTCAGCTTTGAATTATTTATAAGCACTTACAGTATGAGTTTTCTTTGTAAACTTAGTCGACCGTTACATTTACACTTTTGAACGACAACTAGAAAGCGGGTAAGAGTGGTCACTTTTAATAATTTTAGCGTGAAATTTACATGACCTATCAATCTATAAATAATTTTAGTCTGTATAATGTAAGCACTATTTGTTTAAGTGATTGCATTAACAAAAATCTATGGCACTTGATCATTCGCGTATTATATTCGAATATTTGAACTTTTCAAGCTTTTTGGCAACCGGATTACTACTGCCTCGTTGGCCGAGTGGTCGCGAGTGCGACTGCCGGGCAAGGGGGCTCGGGTTCGATTCCCGGGTCAAGTGCAAGTCAAGATTAATAGTGCCTTGCCCGGCAGTCGCACTCGCGACCACT